CAATGAACCTTCTTTATACACATATGAAACTTGCTGGTATGAAAAAAAAAGTAAAAATAAATTCGCAAACACTGACAACATTTCAAGCCAACAGCTAGGTGAAAACTTTTCTTGAATCTAACTTATATCAACCAGTAAATATAAAATGCATACTTTGTATATAAAGCGTGTAAACATTAATTTCACAATTATCATCATACCACGTTTTCAGGAACAAATAACACAGCATATCTGCTCGATTTGATGAAGTAACTTCGATACAGTCTTGAGTCATTAACTATTTAAATCACACAATATTTTAAATAACTTTCACAACGCATTCACAGCATCTTTTATTATGGTCTAATATACAGCACTGGTCTGTTAAGAAGTTATATAGTAAAACGCCTGCTAAAGATAATGTTGAAGTTTAGCAAAGATTATAAAAACTGATCAAAAATCGTAGTACTAATTATTATGTTATTTTTGCAACAGAAAATACAAGAATTTGACTTCAAAAACATGTGTTTCTTCCTTTATCGTTAAGCACAAAGCTACACTACGGGTTATCTGTGTTGTGCCTACTGCAAGCAACGAAACCTATTTTTTAGCATTATTATCTTTCAGACTTACCGCTGAGCCACCGGGAGGCAAGATGTGTGTCAACCTTAAAAAGGGAAGGTTGGACATTCTTATTATTTTTTTTTCAACAAATAAATCAAATATATAAGTAACTGTTCTTATTTTTAGTAAGTAATTTTGTTTATTTGTTGAAATTCGCGCAAAGCTCCTCGAGAGCTATCTGCGTTAACCTTCCCTAATTTAGAAGTGATAAATTAGACGAAAGACAGCTATTCAAAACCACCCACCGCTACCTCTTGGGCCACTCTTTGCCAACGAAAAGTGAGCCTGACCCTCACATTTTAGCGCCCCCTCGCAAGTAAACAAATCAACTTTAGAAGCCAATGTTCTCATTTTACCTTAACAAATCAAATATAGAAGCGCCTGTTCTTACTTTTCGTAAGTCAAGAGATTTAATTTAGAAGTAACTCTCAGCCAGGATTTCTTACTAGATAGAACACAGTCACCCCAGTCAAAGATTCTTATTTCGAAAACTTTTTTCATCAAGTATAAATTAATTTCCATCAAACCGGACGTCATTTCATTACAAACCTTATAAGGATCGTAAACACTAGGAAAGTGTTTCTTCATTGCTGTTCTTCATCATAAAACAGAGAAAACCTGCATTGCTAACAATACGAAATTAGTTCTACATACTAAATTATGTTATGTTCCAACAGCATAATAACAATGCACTAAATATTTGTATATACCCGAGAGAGATATATAACACCTGTACCTAATATTTGTTTATGCGTCCATTATCTCGTACGAATAACTTGTAAAGGCAAATAGTAGCATTGTGCGCCATCTAAAGTGTGTTAGTTCGTGTCAGGACAACAATGCAGCATCAATCACGCTCAACATTTATTTTTCAATTATACTTTAATTTATCATTATTTTACATATTATTTGTTAATAGAAAATACACGTGCCACTTGCTAAATTGGATAGATAAAAAAGAAAATGAGGACGATAACAAAATAAACTAATATATCATACATTATCGATAGAAATACAGTTTTCTTAATACAACAATGTTTAAATAATTGTTGACTACGCTAGAAAAGTAACATCTTTACGAACAAAACAAAAGTTTCCGAACTAAGTGTCTTCATCATAGTTGAATTATTTTTAGTTTGTGCTCTTTCGCAGCACGTGGTATTGTGGTGCGATGACGACACTCGATGATGTATTAAAATCAATTTGATCATACGAAATGAACTAAGATTCTCGAAAAACTCTTTTGAAACTTAATATTGGAATATACCAAATACTTTCGACTTTCCCCGTCAGTTGCGTGACTTTCATTTCGGATATGTGTTGATAAATCAGCACCATTTACCCTTTCAAATAGTTCACAGACAATTTTAATGTTCTTTCAATCTTGTAATTCCCGTTCAACCTGATTCTCCATAGTCCACAAATGGAATGCAATAAGCAGTTCTGCCTAAGATATTCAGATATTAAGATATTCTTTTGTATGAATGTAGTTGATAATTTAATTTGCATGGCTTAAAAGTAGTTCGAACATATATTTTTGGATTTTATTTTTATAAAATGAGTCTTATTCACAATAATATGTATGTATTTATAAGAAGTTAATTTCATTAGTACTTCACGCAATACAACCCAAAATATTAATGATTTTCTACTGTTTGCACTCCACTTTGTCC